AGAGTTTTCTACATACATTAAAAGCTGGACAGTCCAATAAAATATGTTTGACAGAAAGGGGAATCTTGCAGAACATGCATCGAGTGGGGTCTTCACCTTAAGCAAACATACATGAGTCAGTCTTGACCTGACCTATGCGACATCTGCTAAATAACACTTGATCAAATCTAGTTTTAAAGGGGTTATATGATGCGATTTAAATTTTTCCTTTCTCTTTGTAGTGTTACAAGCTCTTGGTGCATAAAGAAGATCTGTAAAGTTGCAAAGACTAAAGTCTCAAATCCAAAGAGATATTCTTTATCAAAGTTAGAAAACGACGCGTTTGAGAGAGGCGGGGCATAGAGGACCTACAATAATGTACAGTATTTGAAAAATAATGTGTTTTTTGAACATTAAAGCATGTCAACATATTCTGTTACACCAAATACACAAAATAAATTATCTTTAAAATAGCATCATATGACCCCTTTAAAAGAGATTAATAATCTGTTTGAAATTTCTGGATGCATTTCATGTAATTTATTATTTGTACATGTATCCCACTCTTCTCGCCACTTATTTAATATGTAACGATTAATAATAGGTCTGATCTCTGAGGGAGGAATTTGACATGTGTTTACTCCTTTGCAGCTCGCTCATTTCCTGAAAGCCCAACATAATACTATAGAATTGATTCTGTAGATGGTCCACTTTGGTTAAAATACAATCCATCAAAGGATGATCAGTTTTTAAAGAGTCCATTACTTGAAGGCATGATTTGGAGTCAGTAAAATTAAGTATATATAAAATACACACACATGCATGTAAATATTTTTTTTAAATGTTACGTTTATATATTAAATATTTATATAATATAAATTGGTAACACTTTATTTTGGTAGTCCACTTTAAACATTCTACTACCAGCAAGTAACTAACTACATGTCAACTAGCAGTCATTAGAGTATTAGTAGACTGTCTGCTTAAATAAATCTTTATTTGAATGTGACTATTAACATTTTTATTTTTAAACCTTTATTTGAATATGGCAACAATATCTCGCTCTACAATATTTCCATGAATAAATCTCTGACAGAGACTATCAGCCAATCACGGTGTGCATAGCTAATAAGCACGCCGACATCATCCACCCTGCTCTTACTCTGAGCTGAAGACTTCTCTCTATTCCTCAGTAAAAGTGTGTCTCAGCAGCTTTGTGAACAGGTTAAAAGAAAACTCTTAGCTAAACTTTTACTGCGATTTAGGAGAACTCGTAGTGGTAAGATAAACTGCTTTGTGAATACAGACCCAGATTTCACAGCAGAAAGAAATGTACCACAACCTGAAGGTGGACATTTTTACAGCTACACTAAAAGGCCTTTTACTTGGTAAAAAGTATAAACTTTAAATGAAATGTCTTAACTTTATTAAATATGATCTACTGTAGTAAGCTTTATATGGTAATTTTTGTATTGTCACCATTTAATTTGGACTGCCCTGCCCTCTATTTATTTATTTATTTATTTTAAAGTGACAACTCTACTTTGCCATTTTACATTTCTACTTTAATTTTTGCATGTTGCCAAATCCCAACCTGTTGTTTTTCCACCAATCTTGGTGCATGAGCTTGGGTCACCTCACAACTGACAGAACTTATCTGGCTCTATATCATCAGTTGTTTCTATATCCTACTGATGACCGGACGATACTTGGGTGCATAGCTATTAAACACCAATGAACAACTACAATAAAAATTAGCCTGAATATCAAGGGAAATTACTTTTAGTACTTCTGGAAATACCTGATCAAAGTAAGAGGTGGAGAAAAAAAAAAAAAAAAGGAACTCACCAAGAGCCAAATGGAAGTACACAATTGCTTTGGGAAGTAAATTAAGTTAAATTATAACCAGCTTTATATATTTAAATTTATATATTAAAACCCCTCATTAGGTCAAATCTAAGAGATAAAAACAGCCTACTAAAGCAATGCTCAAGTCACTTTTTTGTGACACACCTCAGTGGAAAGATTTACCATCAGACATTCAGTTTTCTCTCTTTAGAGCTCCATGTGAACACACTTTCCTTTGAGAAACGAGCTGTCCTACTAACTCGAACCAGCAGATGGCAGTCAATCTTCCATTAAAACTGGCAAAACCTTGAAGAAATCCAATACTAAAACAGGGAAACAGAAGCTTGCTCCTCGACACTCACAGAAAACTCTTCCCAATTGAGCAAAAGATGATATTTGTTTCAGCATTTCACACGGGTCACGTTATCCACATCAAATCAACAGGCCTGTGACCAGACACTGCACGCACAGATATTAAATGAAATGCAAAGGCAATGCACACTGTACCAACGGAAAACTTCCCTCTGAAAACAACACAATGTGCACAATGGTAATGCTCCTGAGCGCTCTCAAAACACGCTGCTTTTAAACATTTTTAAAGGGACAGTTCACCTAAAACTCACACGCGAAGCCTGCATGCAATACCTTATTTCTTCCTGAAACACAATAGCGTAACGTTTAGCAGAATTTATAATAGCGGCCCATGCGACTTGTAGGCTACTTTCTAAGTTTTCAAAGGCAATATAATGGCTCTGTTTGAGGTAGAAACCCAAAAAAAATTATCGACTGAAACAGTTTTCGCTCTCATCTGTCATGTATTAAATTTGGGTTGTTTCTCAAAGCTTTTGTATGGTTACAAAAACCGTTGAAGATATTGCACGAGACAAAAATAAATTGTAAATAAAAATAATTGTTTCACAAAAAAAAAAAAAAATAGTACATCATACTTTTGAAGCATCATCACGAGGGACTTGGCAATGACCGGATTTTCTTGGTGAACTGTCGCTTTAAGAGCGTCGCACACCTGACTCAGAGAAACAGGTGGGGAATGGTGTGATAAATTAGTAATATGATCAGATTTCGTTTGTGTGCTCCTTTAAGCTGACCCATCTGGTACCTAAGGGCCTGTTTACACCTGGTCACGTCATGCGTTTTTTCTGATCGGATAGCTATCAGATCGTGAAAAGACCAGGTGTAAACGCCCTCCGACACGCATTCGAGACGGATATAAATCCGATCGCTCAAACCACTTCAGGAGGTGGTCTGGGACGCATTCCAGACGAAGCTGGACAAGTGTAAATGCATCTGGTTGCTGAAACCACATATGTACATTTTACTCCCCAAAATGTTAAAATAATAAACGTGTGAGAGCGTGTTATAGGCTATATGACATTAGTCAGACTGCGCTAATGCAACACGCATCGCTGCGCGCGAGTAGCTGAGTACCTCTTCAGCAAGCCGAATGAAAAAGTTAAGACGCAGACGGCCAACACACAATCATCTTCATTAAAGTAGTAAGACAAACTTATCTTTCCAGTGCTGATGCCGCGCGCTCTCCTATTGCGGTCTTTGATCTTGAAATGAGCTGATAATTAATAAAATGCAGCGCTTATCTTTTGATTTAGTTGACGTGAACTCCGTTAAATTTAAATATAGC